AAGCAGTATTTCTCAGCCTTCTCTCCCTTACTACAATCCACTAACCCCCCCCTCAATTCTGCTCTTTGGGGTAAAGAGACCCCCCACACACACCCAGAACAGTGCAGGAGACATAATCGCGATCAGTAGTGAGAGAAGGGAACTGGTAGAAATCGCCCTCTCATCCAAGCCAATGAAAGTACTGTTTCACTACCTTAACTACTCCTATACTGGCATGTTTGGATCCAACCCACTACCTTTATGGTTCTAGTTCCAGAAGTGTAGCCAAATTAGCCCAGTGCAGTTATCTATATCTATCCGTCCGTCTGTCTGTCTATCTGTCATTGTCCTATGAGTTCTATGAGGAAAGGGTGATTTACAGCAGAATAATACAATACATTATAAAACCAATTAAAACCATAAAAATTCAATATTAAAAACATTCAAACATAAATATTTGAAAACATATCTAGAATTCAGTTATAGGTGAGGAGGTGGGGTGCCGGACAGATGTAAGGAATCATCGCTGGCCTCATTCCAAAGGTGTGGTGGAACATCTCTGCCTTACCTGCCCTGTAAAACTTTAATAGTTCACACAGGGCACAGATGTCATTCAACAAAGAGTTCCACCAGGCTGGGGCCAGGGCCAAAAAGGCCAGGCAGATATCTTTGGGGCCAGGAACCACCAGAAGATTCTTATCTGCTGATCCTAATGCCCTTTGGGGGACATAACAAGAAAAGTGGTCCTGAAGGTACATAGGTCCCTGACCGTTAAGGGCTTTAAAAGTAAGCACCAAAACCTTGAATCTGATCTGGTGCTCCACTGGCAACCAATGCAGCTTTGCGCAGCAGTGGATGGATATGGTAGACACACATACACCCTACATTTAACTAGTTATCTAACGATAATACAGACATGATCAATGTTCCCTCTAAGCTCCATAGTGTTGTGAGCAGAAATTCTGCCTCGTGAATAAAAAAAGTTAGTAGCATTAAAGTTGTGAGTGAGACTAATTTGACTATCGTGTAAATTAGTTTTTTTAGAAGATTACCTTGAAAAATCTCAGAATAAATTATTTTAAATTTTATTTAAACTATATTTTAAGAATAATTTAAACATTATAAGAGAAAACAAATCAAGTCAAATTTCACCCACCCTGTCCTCCAGAGAACAGGTCTACCCACCCCTTTCCACTGTATTGGTAGACCAGGCCTCAGACTGTAACCCTGTGCTGACCCTTAGAAAACATATCAGTACTTGTGGGGGGAAACTCTTGCAGTCTACTTTGGGTTTTTTAAAAGTGAAATATGAGAACCAGCATTACAGGTCAAGTATAACAGAGGAGAAAAAAAAAAAGTATAACAGAGGAGGAACAATCACTGTCAGAACCCTGCCTAACCTAACAAACAGGAAGTTGCTTAAATGTAATCAGCCTGCCCAAACTACTTATTTATTCAAGTAGTTATATCCTACTTTCCCCTGTGACTCAAGGCAGCTCACAAATCATACTGAAAAGAATAATAAGGGTGTGCAAAAAATAAATAAATCATTTTTCCGGCTCCGTTGTAGCCTACGGGGACCATTATAGTCAATGGGCCCCATAAGCTATAATGGATCATCAATCTGGGGGTATCTGGGGCTCTGGGGGGCTGTTTTTTGAGGTAGAGACAGCAAATTTGCAGCATAGATGCTGGTGCCTCTCCTCAAATGCCCCTCCAAGTTTCAAAAAATTGGACTGGGGGTCCAATTTTACGGGCCCCAGAAGGAGGTGCCCTCATCCTCAATTGTTTCCAAAGGAAGGAAAAGTGCCTTGTGGGCTGAAAGCAGTAATCCATGCACTGGCTGTTACAATTTTGTGTGCCAGGACCCTCTATCACAGCTTAGAGGGAACTATGGACATGATCCAGCCAAACATAGCATTCTGAAGTTCTTCTGATCTCCATGGCAGAGATATACAGTGCAATCTTGAACAGGATAGCACCCTTCTAATCCAATTAACTTCAGCAGACTTTAAAAGGGTGTAATGCTGCTTGGTGGGGGAAAGTGCCGTCAAGTCACAGCTGACTTACAGTGATCTCACAGGGTTTTCAAGGTAAGAGATGTTCAGAGGTGGTTGGTCTCTGTGTCGTGACCCTGGACTTCCAATTACTAACCAGAGATGACCCTGCTCAGCGTCCAAGATCTGATGAGATCAGGTAGCCTGACTTAGTCTTTTAAAATAACATAACTCCTGTATTTACTCTTATGCCAATAAAGGTATTGTATTTGTAACTCCTGTATTTGCTCTAATATACTAAGCAGAATTATACCTTTTTGAGCCTATATAACTCTGTTTAGGACTGCCTAATTTTCCCATAAAAGTCAACAGGGCTTCAAAGTGCTTAACTTGGCTGGATTGTGGCCACTCTGTTTTGTGTCACTTCCTATACTTGTGTTTTCAACACATTCTTCACTTCAAAGTATTTTCTGCTTTACGTTATTGCAGGAATAATTAAACTTTTCTGTGCATCTGACATACATGGCACTCTTAAAAGTGCTCATATTAAACATTTGTGTACACTGCACTTCCATATACATTCAATTAAATAATTTAGTAGATCCATGAAATACAGCCGTAAACATAAAGAAACATGACTATGTGAAATATTACATTATCTAGCATAATAAAATGCATAGGGGTGCAAGACAGGTCTTTGATTTTTTTAATTAGGATTAGGCTTCATAAACAAAATGTACATAAAATGTACTCTGTACTTGATATCATTCCATGGGAAAATATTAGTGCTTAAATATAGATTTTTTTTTAACAAAACAAAACTTCAATTTATTTTGGCCACAGTACATAAAATGTACTCTGTACTTTTTGTTAAGACAAATGATATCATTCCATGGGAAAATATTAGCCCTTAAATATAGATTTTTTTTAACAAAACAAAATTTCAACTTATTTTGGCCACAGTATGTATGTATGTATGTATGTATGTGTAGGTAGGTAGGTAGATTTAATCTTTGTGCTCCTTCAGATGGTTTTTTAAATTCATTCTTCTGTCTTAGTTATTTCAAGAGATATTGTGCCAAACACAGAAGAGAATGACAAAGCAAGAAGGATTTTTCTGTGACGCGATTTTGGAAGACTGTATGTGACAGGGCACAGCTTCCAGAGCATTTCGGTATAATGAATCTTCTCTTGCAATTTGTCTGAATTATTTATTTAGAAAGTGTAGATGCCACCTCTCCAGAGGCCTGCTTGAGACAGCTCACAGAGTGAAAACGCTTAAACAATTAGAAATGTAAGACTTATCTGTACAGCCTTGGACAGGTTAAACCATATAATGGCTTGACTAAAAAGGTAACCCGGGGGGACACAGGTTCAAGAGGTTAAGAGCTCAAGGTTGGAATTTAGGATCCGGTGCAATAGGACCTTGTATGCTAGAGACCAGTATGAATACAACAGTGTGTGTGTGTGTGTGTGTTATATTTTCCCCTGTACCATTTTCACAGTCTGAAATGATCCCATAGAGTTGCACACCTCCAGATGGGGCCTAGGCTTCTGTAATTACAAATGATCGCCAGACGACAGAGATCAGTTCACCAGGAGAAAATGACAGCTACAGAGGGTAAACGGCATGGTATACCATAGATTCTAGGTGAAATCCCTCCCCAAATTCTGTCCTACACAGGTACCACCCCCAAATCTCCAGGAATTTCCCAGGCCAGAGCTATACCAGGTATTTGTACCGTGCTCGACCCAACAGGGCAAATAATGTATATCAGCAGAAATTTCAGATCATAAAAATGGCAAGGGAAGATACTCTTGCTCCCCAATGCCATTACAATCCTCAATCTGAACTGGGGGGGGGGGGCATGCCAATTCATGGGGCTACTGGGAACATTTTCCCGGTTTTAATAATTAAAATGCTTATTCTCTCCTTTTTTTACAGGCTAGATGTGGTTGTTTTTAAGTGGTCTGTTTCTATTGATGGCTTTTTTTCACTTCAAAAGGTGGAGCCTAGGGTTGCCAGGTGTGACTCAGGAAATACTCAGAGACTTTGGGGTGGTGCTTAGCAAGGATGTGACATCAACTTTGTGACAGCATGTGCTATGATATCATTCCCAGGTCAAAGGTCAAGTGAGGTCACTTCCCAAGCCCCACCCCTTCTGATTATATCACTTCCAGTACACTGCACCAGAACCCCACCCATTCCTGTGATGTCACTTTCAGGGCACTCCCCCAAACCTGCCTCTTCCCCTGAAGTCACTTCCTTTTTTCAAAATCCTAATTTAAATACCCTGTCTTATATCTCTTTCCATCCCCCACCTTTTCCCCACTTTACATTACTTGTAGGCTTTTAGGCCTCCTTCCAGTGCAAAAATAACAAAAACCTTTAAGATAAAATACTTTAATTTAAATATTTAACAATTAGAACAAGAAAACAAGCAAACAGTATATGACATACAAGTGAACAAAACAAGAGAAATTGTCATACTGCTTCCTGCTTTCAGGAAGGAAAGCAGTATTTACCTTGGCTTCTTGCTGCTTTCAGCACCTCTGGTATTGACTTTATAAACTTGCAGAATGCTTCACAGGGCATCCTGGAATTCACTTTCACCTGGAGTGCTGCTTTGACAAGGCTATCACTCAGCCGCTTTCTTTCCTTGCTCCAGAGCTGCATCATTAAGCTGAAGACTCTCTCACAGTAGGCACTGGTTACAAGGATAGACAGTGCAAAAGAGACCATCTTCAACAGACAGCTGTCACCACTGTCTGGAACACACCTAAACATCTTTACCCGTCTCTGGTCTATCTTCCCCTACTGTGTGAAAATCTTTTTTTGGCATTTTGATGCAATGCAGAAATCATTGAACAGCTTGTCAATGTCTATTATATCAGGGCTTTGACAAGACTCCCTAATGGATCCCACATCACAGGACTGTCAAGCGAGAGCAGTGCCATGTCTTTGAAAATTGACATATCAAAATTATACCATTTCTCAAGTTAGTCAATGCACCTTGAGAATGTCTAGTCTGCTTCTGTTTGGAATTTTGCCCTTTCAGATGCAGAGATGTTGACCAGAATGGCTGCAGCAGATCTTCGATAGAACTGTTTCTGTCTCCTCTCCTTAGGTTTTTCACGAAGCTCACCCAGGATTTTGTGGAGTTCTGTGCAGCTAACGTTGGCAGTTTCCAGTTTCTTCACAATGGGAGTGAACAATGCCATCAAATTGTGTAGGAAGTACATATAACAGAGTAGAAGAGATCTCCTCTTTGTTGTCATAGAAGTCAAGTTAATTCCCTCTATTACAGAAAAGTAACAAACAGTTTCCTGTTTCCCTTGTTGGAGGTGTCACATCCTATTGAGAAAAAGTGTGCAGCATCCAAATCCTCCAGCAACAATTCTATAGATTTTGGTGCCAAAATGTTCTCCACAATGCTAGCGGCATTTGTCCATCCACAAGACATCTTTTTGCTATGCCAGAATCAGGCAAAAACCTTGGCATCAGCTTCTTTGTGCAGTCTTGAGTTGTGTAACTATGATGGTGCATAACACTGTGGTACGCTTCTGCCACTTCAGCTGCAGTAACCTGATTTGCTTGTGAGGAATCTGGTTTGTCAAAGGAGGTGGTCGCTAGTGGTGTCTGTCTATACTGTTTCTCCGCCTCTTTGTGCTTCGTACCTTTTACATGATCTGTCAGGGCACCTTTCTCCTCGTAGCGCATAGATATCCTGCGGTGGGACCAAATGCATTCTGCTGTTTCAAAGTCCTTTTTACAAAACCAGCTTTTGAATTGGCTTTCGCTCAGCCATTCATCTTTAAAAACCGCAAAGTATTTTTTTTCCTTTTTTGCTTCACCACTGCCTGAAGGATCTTCTCCACTGTCTGATGGACCTCCTCCACTTGCCATGACTTCTCAGATTTTTGATGGGAACCAACCCTGAGTACCACAAGAGGAAACTCCCCCCCCCCCAGCAAGATAGCCTCTCATTCCTTATAGGTGGAGCCCACAAATACACTCGTCAGTTTGGCGGCTATTTGATCACACAAATGCAGATGCAGAGAATGTTATTTATTGACTCCAAGTATATTTTACATATCTCTCCGATGGGGACCCAAAGGGGCTTATATAATGTTCTTCTCCTCCATTCTATCCTCACAATAACCACCCCCTGAGAGGTGGGTTAGACTGAGAGGGTTTGACTGACCCAAGGTTGCCTAGCCAGCTTTCTATGGCACGGTAGGGATTCAAACCTGGGTCTCCCTAGACGCTAGTCTGGCACTCTGACATCTTAACATTTTTCACATCTTTATATTTTCAAGTACCTGCCAATAAATCACAAATGAACCATATCTATGGCAATTCTGCAGGGCCTGCAAGACGGAGCTCTTCCACCAGGCATTTGACTAAGGAGCCGCACCTAATAGTTCAACAGAGGTTAAGACCCTATGCCCTGGGAAAGTGCTATTGGCGGCCTGTGCTGCGCCGGTACAAGTGAAATATATTATGGGACTTGAACAACAGCCCTATAATGACTGCTGATTATATTTCACTATGGCTAATAATGAAACTGTATGTATAATTAGCACCTTAGGAATGTTTTATAAATGTTTTATGTTTTTTAACTGTTTTAACCTTTTACGTGAGCCGCAGTGAGACTTCTTCAGTGGGGAGGGCGGGGTATAAATCAAATAAATAAATAAATATAAATAAACATTTCCCTGTACCCCACCCACTCTTACCCATACTCACAGGCTGCTTTAGCATGGAAGAAAGCTAGATAATATCACTTAATTCACAACAAATCTGGGCTTCCCCCTTAAACACTGGAAGCCATTCCCAATCTGGTAAGACTCAGCCAGGGGTCATTTCCTGCAGGAGCGCACAGGAGCGGAGTTCTGGCAGTAAAGAGCCCAGGGGGCGGGCACATGCAACAAGCCCCACCCCCTGCTCCCAGCAGGCCCAGGCCATGAGGAGCTTGAGGATCTGCGCATCCCCCCCCCCATAGCTAGCAGTCTAAAACAGTCCAGTGGAGCCTGAGCAGTGGGTGTTGCCTTCTGACACACTTCCGGTGATGTCAGGGGGTGTGGCATATGCAAATAAGTTATGCTAATGAGATCCTGCACCTCTTTTTCCACAAAATGACCCCTGGACTCAGTTTCTCAGGTCAGCCACAATTGCAGAGCTCAGGTAACCCTGAGGCCAGGTTCAGGTGGGATAGCCATGTTGGTCTGAAGCAGCAGGACAAAGTTTGAGTCCAGTGGCAACTTGTTGATCTTCGAGGAGCCACTGGACTCAAACGTTGTTCTGTTGCCAGGTCAGCCACATTCCCTTTGCCACAGAAAATAATTTATGCTTCAGGAACTTGGTAATGTGGAAGCTTAAAATAATAATTCATACCCAAGGAAATTCTTACTGGCCCTGGAGCTGTCCTGTGCACACTAGAGCATATTACATTTCCTTTTTTCTATGCACTTCACTGTTATTCTGTTGGCATCAGGTATTTATTTTGTAGACCTCCATCTCATGGTTTCTAATCAGAAAACATGTGTCCTAAATCCTCTGCTCTATTAATCTATTAATCACCCCACTGTCGACCGTTCAGACTGCCATTCAGGTCACCAGGGAGAGGGTGGGCAGCCTCTAATGTGTGCATGTGCATAACTGCTTATTCGCTAGGAGTGGACATGCGGCTATGCGCACACAGCTAACTACAAAGAAAAATGGCGGCCGGGGACTGCAAGTGTCAGACCTCACTAAGCAGCTAGAATGCACAAGGGAGAGATCAGATTCCCAGAAATCCACGGTGAGACGAGTTCAGTCATAAACACTGGACTTTATCCGGTTTTGGGAAAGTTGGAGGTGAGGACAGGGGGGCGACATCTTAGGGACAGGAGGCAGATGTTGCCATCTGATCGTGCACTTCAAATTTGGTGGGGAGCTGCCACTACATCAGAGCAACTTGCCCATCTGATCACAGTCTATATCTACCAGTTGGGAGGGGAGGAGTACATGATTAAAGGTTTGCATACATCACCCCTACCCAAAACCCTAACAAGCAGCTCTAGTTACCGTCATGTAATAGAATACCCTTAGGGTTGCCAGGTCCCCCCGACCAGTGGTGGGTGGTGGGGAGGCACCCAAAACAGCACTTCAGAAGATGACCATAGCAGTCAGGTAGCAGTATAAGAACAGGGGATCCTTAAGATATGCTGGTTCCAAAACACATAGGACTTAAAAGCCTTGAGAATGCCCGTAATAGACAGAATATCTCCATGGATCTGTCTAACCTACTTTTAAAGCCATATATTACAGAAGAAAGGATGCAGAAGGCTGGGAAGTAAGAGCCACTTAGGGACTTATTATGGCCTCATTGCCACAAGTAATGGATGGGAAAGGCCAACCTGTTTCTGGGCTGTGCCACTTCAGGTGGCATGTGGGGACATACAAGACTGACTGTTTCCACACACAAAAACATCTGCTGCGTATGGAAAACTGGAATATGAGGAAGCAGGTTAGGCTAGATCAAATCTTTCTTCCTCTCATCCTGCTTTCTACAATCAGAACTCCTCCATTTTACCTTCACATCAACCCTTTGAGGTTGCTTAGACGGAGAGTGTGTGGCTAGAGTTGCCAGCCTCCAGGGGCTCCTGGGGATCTCCCGGAATTTACAGCTCATCTCCAGACTACAGAGATCAGTTCCCTTGAAGAAAATGGGTGCTTTGGAGGATGGGCTGTATGGCGCTGTGCCCCACTGAGGTACCCTGTCCTCTCCAGGCTCCATCCCCAAATCTCTAGGAGTTTCTCAGCTCAGATCTGACCACTCCAACCCCCCCATCCTCCACTGGTGGCCAGGGGGGGGACCTGGCAAATTTTGGTTGGTGGGGCATGGGGAAATTCGGTGTGTGTGTGTGTGCCCTGACTGCATCTGCTGCTCCTCTTGCAGCAGCAGGAGAAGCAGGTCCGGCTACGCTGCGACCTCTAGTCCTCCAGTCCTTTCGACTGGAGAGACTCAATTCTGGGCTGCTTTTCTGTGTAAGCCAGGGAAGGGGGGAATCTCCGACTCTCTCTCTTTTCATTGTGCAATTTTATTTTATTTCGCATTTTTAAAAACCTATTTATTTTTTAGCCCGGAAAAAAGAAAATGAGACCAAAGCTTCCCTGACGGTGCCTGGGGTCATTTTGGAAGCCCCATGTGTATCTTACTTTTCAAAAATATTTTTGGGTTTGTCTGAGGGGTCGGGTCGGCACTCATCTGTGGGGGGCATTGTCCACCCAGCAGGCTTCCATGGCAGAGTGGAAACTTGAACCAGAGTCTGACACTCTAACCACGACACTGCACTTGCTCTCAAAGACTTCCTCAAAGACTGTACCTGATTTTCCCACCGATGCCACTGGCAGATTTGCAAAACTTGCTCCAGTCCTTGGCGCTGCAGCTTTAAGAATTTACCCAGTTGCCGTCTCCTGTCTTGCAGAACTTCAAGGAGATTACCAATTTTCAGGCAGCTTCTGTGGGCCCCCTGGATGAATTCCGGGTTTACATTCGGCCCATCAGCCTTGAATTCCTCTATGAATTCGGTAAGGTCGTGGCTCTTGTTTAAGAGGAGCAGTGATTTCTCTAGCAGCTCTGCCAAAACAGAATTCGGGAGAAAAATGCATATTTTAAAATTGGCGGTGGATAATAAAACATTATAAGCAGTGCAATCTCATTGGCCTGAACGTAGGCAGATGATTCTCTTAATATAAGTCAGGTGTGGCTCCCTTCCTAACACATATGCTTGCGATTGCCACTTTGCAAATAATCTTTAGTGTTGCAGCCTTAGGTGCGTGCATTTAAGGGGAATGTGATAACTGGTAGAGGTGAGAAAAATAACAAAGGAAGCCCAGAAATAAACAGGTATCTTGTGACACTTTAAAGGCCAACAAGAATTTTCTCAAGTCTATGTTGTCACAGACTAGAGTCCACTTCATCACACCTATGTAGTAGATCCTCACTGTGCAGACATTTATATATGAGGTTGTAAGCAAAATATAAACCTGAGAATCAACGAAAGAGGAGGTCCTAAAACTGATAGACAACTTAAAAACTGATAAATCACCAGGCCCAGATGGCATACATCCGAGAGTTCTGAAAGAACTCAATTGTGAACTTGTGGATCTCCTGACAAAAATATGTAATCTTTCCTTAAAATCAGTCTCCATTCCTGAGGACTGGTAGCTAATGTCACTCCCATCTTTAAAAAGGGTTCCAGAGGAGATCCAGAAAATTACAGGCCAGTCAGTCTGATGTCGATACCGGGTAAATTGGTGGAAACCATTATTAAAGAAAGAATTAGTAGGCACATAGATGAACAAAACCTATTGAGGCAGACTCAGCATGGGTTCTGTAAGGGAAGATCTTGTCTCACTAACCTGTTAATGTTCTTTGAGGGAGTGAACAAACATGTGGACAAGGGGGATCCAATAGATATTGTTTACCTTGACTTCCAGAAAGCTTTTGATAAAGTTCCTCATCAAAGGCTCCTAAGCAAGCTCAAAAATCATGGGATAAAAGGACAAGTCCTTTTATGGATCAAAAACTGGCTAATTAATAGAAAACAGAGAGTGAGTATAAATGGGCAGTTCTCCCAGTGGAGGGGGGTAAGCAGTGGGGTACCACAGGGATCAGTACTTGGTCCACTGCTTTTTAACTTGTTCATTAATGATTTGGAGTTGGGAGTAAGCAGTGAAGTGGCTAAATTTGCGGATGATACGAAGTTGTTCAGGGTGGTGAAAACCAGTGAGGATTGTGAGGCACTCCAAAGGGATCTGTCAAAGATGGGCGAGTGGGCGTCAACATGGCAAATGGGGTTCAATGTGGCCAAGTGCAAGGTGATGCACATTGGAGCCAAAAATCCTAAATATAAATACACGTTGATGGGGTCTGAACTGGCAGAGACTGATCAAGAGAGAGATCTTGGAGTTGTAGTAGATAACTCACTGAAAATGTCGAGACAGTGTGTGACTGCAATAAAGAAGGCCAATGCTATGCTGGGGATTATTAGGAAGGGTATTGAAAACAGATCAGCCAATATAATAATGCCCCTATATAAATCAATGGTGAGACCTCATTTGGAATACTGTGTGCAGTTCTGGTCACCACACCTTAAAAAGGATATTATAGCTTTGGAAAAAGTGCAGAAAAGAGCAACTCGAATGATAAAAGGGTTGGAACACTTTCCCTATGAGGAACGGTTAAGGCGCTTAGGGCTCTTTAGCTTGGAGAAACGACGACTGAGGGGTGACATGATTGAGGTTTATAAGATTATGCATGGGAAAGAGCAGGTAGAGAAAGAGGTACTTTTCTCCCTTTCTCACAATACAAGAACTCGTGGGCACTCCATGAAATTGCTGAGCGGTCGGGTTAGAACGGATAAAAGGAAGTACTTCTTCACCCAAAGAGTGATTAACACTTGGAATTCACTGCCACAGGAAGTGGTGGCAGCTACAAGCATGGACGGCTTCAAAAGGGAATTAGATAAGCATATGGAGCAGAGGTCCATCAGTAGCTATTAGCCACAAGGTATAGATAGGGACTCTGGGGCAAGTGATGCTCTGTCATCTTGGTGCTTGGGGGGGTCAACAGTGGGATGGCTTCTAATGTCCTGGCCCCACTGGTGGACCTCCTGATGGCACTGGTATTTCTGGCCACTGTGTGATACAGAGTGTTGGACTGGATGGGCCTTTGGCCTGATCCAACATTGGCATCTCTTATGTTCTTATGTTCTTAAGGAAACATGGAATGCAGAAATGTATCCATATACAATTCAACTCTAACCTGAGAAAATACAGAGACCATTCTTCAAGTAGCTGATAGGTAAAGAAAATCTCTACACAAGAGTGGAATGATCTCCACCTGGTTGTATGTGCATGCTTAAATTAACACTGCATTTTCAAAGCTCTGTATCTTTCAGCATTTCAGCTTCCTAGATGAGCAACAGGTACATATAGGGTTCCCAAGTACCTACCTACGATCCAGCAGGGGACACATGCTTCCCTGCGGGAACATTCTTGCTTGGAACACAGGCGCTGCACTATTCCGTCACCCAGACGTGACGTAGGCATGTAGCTGGGCGACACTCTGTTAATGGGACTGGAAACTCGATGGTACCATCGAGTTTCCAGCCCCATTGCTAGAGCGTCACCCGGCTATGTGCCTACGTCACGTCTGGGTGATGGAATAGTGCAGCGCCTGTGTTTTCCCCGCAGGAATGGTCCCGCGAAGAACTATACATCCCCCACCGAATTAAGGGAAGTACTTGGGAGCCCTGGGTACATATGGCACTTAACTGTCCTACATTAATGGTCTGTCTAATGACAATGCTATATATCAGGGCTTCTACACAAAAGTTGCATTGCAGGAATGTTAGCATTATTAAAAAATGTACTTCATGAGCTGGGCTTTGGCTGAGGTGGGGGGGAACCTACATCAAATATTGGAATTCAAAGAAGCTTGACTATTCCTTCCAGCAGGGGGCAGTGGTGGCATTCAGAACAGACAGGCCATTTATTACCGAATGACATCCTACATAAGCAGCAATTCAAACCTCTTCGCATTGTTGGGCAGGATTGACAGCTCCTGAGGTCCAAACTGTAGAGCATGTAATTTGCATATTATGTCAATGGTATTTACATACATGTGCACATCATCTCTGTTCAAACTGCCTTTCATTTTTAAAAACCACTCTAGGATAATGGCCGGTATCACAATGTGGTAATAGGCAGTCTAAAGCCACTGCACAGACTGTGGTCTTCTTAAAATGGATGAAAAAGGTAAGAGTTTTGAAATGTAAGTGCAAAATTTTGCCTCTAAAGTTTGCCGCCAACGCACAATTTGCTCAAGTAGATCCACATGTTTCGTTTCATCCATTGACAGTGAACTGACAAACACTGATTACTGCGGCAGATGAAACGTCGCTGTCTTTTAACAGATGGAAGGTACGATGCAATTTCCATCTGACCAAACTATTTTAAAATTATGAAAAAACCCCAAACAACTGAGACATGTGAGTGCATCTGCAAAGCTATTTCGTGTCTGAGTCTGAAAGGTCCTTTCCACATGTGGATCTCATCCCTGGTTTTATCAGAGTTCAACTCGTGACACGATACCTTGCATTTATCCCTGATTATAACAGCATCCGTTTATCCCAGGACAAGTGTGGGGCGAAACCGGGGTGACTTTAATGTAATGTGGAAACAAAAAATACCCCGAGATAATTACAGGGGTAAACTCGAGTATAGTGTGAAATGTAAAAATACCCCGAGATAATTACAGGGCTGAACTTGCGCGTAGTGTAGAATGTAAGTTCGGGGACAGGGTTGAACCAGGATTTAAGGTCTGGTGCGGAAAGGACCAAAGACTCGAAAGACACCTATGCCCTCTGAGGAAGAATACGCATATTTAAAGATATGTGATAACTTAATGACAAAATGAGAACGTTATACCTCTCTGGAACTCAATGCACTCAATACTCAATGTGCCACAATATACAATGTACATTAATACTCAATGTGCCAATTAAAATGAGAAGCAGCACTGAATCAGTGCCACTATAAACTATGTCCCTAACAAAATGTACAGTGAGCATCTACAATACAAGCAGGGGGTTCACAAAGGCTTATGGGCAGTATCTTGTTTCCCCTCCTCCCTTCCCTGAAAGCTTCCATTGCCTCTCCCCTTTTCCTGCTTCCTTCTCTCCTTCCCACCAAACAACCAAAATACCTTTATCTGCTTCCCCGTTTGCAGTTTTCCTTCCTTTCCCACCAGCAGCCTCTACCTGAGAAAGCTATGGCCCAGTTGTTTCTTGCTGGTCACTGGGAGAGGCCCACTTGCATGGTAGGGAACAAACAAAAAATTAGGGGAGCACCTCACTCTCCCCGTAACCCCTTCCCACAATATTTCTTCTTTCCCTCCTCCTGGCAACCCCCATATCATCTCCTATTTCCCTGCCTTATTCTCGCCTTTATTCTCCTTCCCTCCTTATCATTCACATTCTCTCCTTCACCAACCTACCGTTTATCTCCCTTCCATTTTCAGCTACATTTATTTATTTGCTTCATTTATACCCTGCCTTTATCCACAGTGGAAACCAAAGCAGCTTACATCATTCTCCTCTCCCCCTTTCTGCACTCACAACAATCCTGTTAGGTAGGTTAGGCTGAAAGTATGTGACTGGCCCAAGGTCAGCTAGTGAGTTTCCATGACAGACTAATTATTTGAACCTGAGTCTCCCAGACCCTTATTTGAATCTCTAACCATTATACCACAATGGTTTTCATTTTGCCTCTGAAGCAAGCAGTGCAGCCAGGCCTAGGTGACTCACCTGGTGGTTGCTGCTGGCCCTGGCCCAAAACACACCTGGAAAGGGGCCCCCACCTGCTTTTTACTACCAGAAATCAAGCCTGGAATGCTGGCAAAACCTGTCGTGGTTGCCTAGCAATGGCCAATAGGGGCATCTATTTCTTAAAGCTGCAGGTGATCCTTTTGTTTGGGTTTTTAAACCCCCCCTCCAATGTTTTGCTTTGTTTTTTACATTTAAATTTTGTTTGTTAACCTGTGGTGTTTTTTAGATTTGCCGAAAAACCCAT